GTTGTGATACGTCAAACAGGAGTATAACAAATATGAGACTAAAGAGTTATTATAAATGTAGAAGGGCCAGGTCCCTGGATGGTGTTTTAGGATGTTGTTAGTTGTCTGATGTGATTTTGTAAGTTTGTTAAAGTGCCTATATCACTTGTGCAACTTTTATGGATTTGAAAAGAGCGTAAAAAGTTAGTTAATAAGGCCAAAAAAAAAATATGTGGGTTTCCGGTTTCCCGACCCTACCTAGCGTTTGGACGTCGAAATCCCGACCCTAAACTTTTTTATTGGATCATGCTTGTAAGTGTTTCCACTTAGAGGAAAAAGTTTGTGGAAAATTGAAATTTGAGGCAATATTAGGGAAATTTATCTTTGGATGTGGAAGCACTGACTAAACAAAATGGCGTCCGCTTGTTAGGAAAATTAAAAAAAAAGTTTAAAAAAAAAAGTTAAAACCGACCTACCCTACCTAAGTTTTTATAAGAAGAAACCGGAAACCCACATATTTTTTTTTTGGCCTAAGTTCAAAAGCTTTTTTTGATTTAGTGCAATAGTTTTGAGGATATAAGCCTTTAAACAACGGACAGTTCCTGAGTCCCAGTCTCCTGGGGTTTAAACACGGCTATTGAATTTGGCCTTTTTCCAAACTGTCCACTGTGCATAGGAGCCTGGGACTCAGGAACTGTAGGTAGTTTAGAGACCTGTATCTTCGAAATTATTTCACTAAATCAAAAAAGTTTTTGAACTTATTAACTAATTTTTTTACGCTCTTTTCAAATCCATAAAGGTCCCACAAGTGATATAGGCACTTTAAACTGTCTAGATTGATGCTAATGTAATTATGTAATTAAGAGGTCGCCGTAATTGGGGTAACCCGTGGCATATTCCCTGGTGTTACATGTTGTATTTTTGGTAGTTGCCGAATTTCATCATATCATTCAATCATTAAATCATCACGACTATGCGGAAAATACCCCCAAGGACAGAGATGGAGTTTTTTCAAATCACTGTCTGTTTCATTTTATCAACATACGATTGCGACTTCCGCCTGGTCCATCGCTCGCAAAAATAAAAAAAAATGCTTAATGCGATCCGTTATTTCAAGATAGAATCTTTTTTTAACTAAAAATCTATAAATTCATCGTATAGATCAATGGATTATCGGAAAAAACTCGCTGTTTCTAATGTAAAATCAACGGATAGTGTTGTGAAAATTCCGGCAGCTATTTTTAAACCCTGCCAAGACGCCACATTCAACCACGTGCAAGTCTATGAACATTTCATATATTTCATTCAACGTTCTTATGTTAGAAATTGTTCTTTTCCAGTTTGGGCTGAAATTTTGTTGCTGTTAAAAATGCAAATCCCGACGTAAAACCTGGATTGGACTTTCCCCGCAATAACAAAAATATCACTCCCCTCTCTCATCAATGCTTAGTGTATTAAACTGGCAAGGTTCACTGTACACTATATGAACGTGAAATTGTGCAGAAATGTAGTGTAGGAAGTTATCTATTTCTCCTAAGTCAAGAATTGTACAATATAACAGTACAAAGATTTATTGTGTGTATGTATGATAGCAGCGGCGGCGGAACAGATTTCGTTCTGGGGGGGCTAAATTTTTTCGGCGACCTCCCTCCCCCCCCC